CAGGATGCCTATACGAATTACAGACGGTCGCGGGCGAGATAAGGGACACGGGTGTGTCGGATAGCGGACCGGGATGACGAGAACCGAACGAATTTCTTTAAGTAATCACGCGATGCTCCGCGGCGGAGCCGCGACACGTCTTGCGGGGTTACTCCGCGACGTTCAACTAGTCCTCTCGCGCACGAGGCCGAGGATCTGCAATCGCTTTTCGTTGGCGGTACAATGAGCGGCTATCGTTCGATTCCGTCTCCCCGTTTGAAATTACAAGTGGAAATAATTTCCCAAGACAATCCTGACGTCCGATATACGGCGGGCGCGGTTCACGCGATCGCGGCGTGTAAGGGCACGTGGCCCAAGATCAACAGCGAAATTCGCTTCTCGCGACACGAGGAAGAAACACTCTCGACACAGAATTCGATTCACGATACGCGGAGACTCTAATATCCGACACACGGAACGGCAGGACGGACGCTCTCGCGATTTACAATTTCAAATCACGATACACGACGCGGTGACTCGGCCGGGCGAGGGCGAACGCAAAGGCGACAATCTTAATGACTCGAAACTAGCGCAATCGAGCGGACGGTGCGATTTCGGATTCTCGCTACAAGCAAGACTCGCGGCTCTATCTTACACGGCACTTACGGCCGTTATGCAGGACTCGATACTCTCACACGGCCCTCTCGTCTCGCGGAACTGGCGACTTTACAAATTAGCGACGTTCGTCTCACCGAATGCTCTCTTGCTCCTTACTCCTCTCGCTTCTCGGAACTCTGATCGGATCTTCATGACTCTAGGCTCGGCGGTGGATCCTGCGTCCCTTACAATAATCACGTCAGGTAGCGTGACGATCACGGCATGAGTGCCGGTTCTTCGCAGCGCCGGGAGCACGTTGGTAGCGTGGCCATCTACCGGTTTCCGCTATCTCTTCCTGTCACGTGAATCCCTCTTTCGCGACCCCCTGCGCCGCAGGAGGGTAGCATTAGTCGCGGGCCCCGTGATAACGGACGCGCAATTTCAATTCCAGGGCTGGAGATCCCTCCGCCCTCGTGATCCCGGAGCGAGCTCTGGCGGTCAGCTCTCCTGCGCTCATGTTCGTCCGGGTTCTCGACAGGGCCGATGGCTCGCTCCGACGATTCTGTAAAACGAATTGCAGTAAAAGAACTCCGTGATGGAAGAAAAAGAAAGAGTAATTACGTGACTTGTGCTCCCGTCTTGCGCTGAGTGTATGTCTCGGTAGCCTCTCATCCTTGGAGTCCTCGTTGCTAGGAGCCGGTGAGACGACGTTTTAATACAGTTTCTTCCGGACAGTCGCCATTCCTCGCTTATTTCGGTCGGTGCATGACCTAACTGCTTAATTCTATTATAAAATTTTAAGTCGCGGAACGTAGCAAAATCGTAGATGCGCTTGCCCTCGAAAGTCGGAGGACACAGGATCCATTTAGCCTTTGCGGTCGGGCTAATGAGCCCTTGTGACGGACGTTGTCAAAAAACGTTACGTCACAACGCATACATACACTCGCATTTTCATATAATCTTTTCTCTTATATTGAAGTATGTACCTAGACTTATTAGTAAAAGTATAGTACTATTTTTTATGTAAGTTCCAGTGCAGCTAAAGTTTATTTTATACGTATAAAATTTTTATACCAAGTAAATATTGTTATGAGTCAACGCCAGAAGTCGATAACAAAACTACTTTTTGAAAATTATTATGTTTTATCGGTAAAATAGATCTATATTTTGCTTTAATGTATTATTTATTATGCCAGATTTTATTTTCAGAGTAACTGCAAGCCTCTGAAATTAATGCGTCAATTGTTTTAATAATGGATGTTGTGACAGATGTGAGAGTAGTGTATATCCAGAGTGATAAAAATAAAGTTTTTGATTATTAAATGTGAGGTGAATTGATTTTCTGATGGAAAAGCCCACGAGTGATTGTTTAATTTGTGAAAAGACGCTTTAGGATGGTGAGATTGTGCGTGTAGAGAAAGGCATAGACAATTTAATAGCCATAAGCAAAGCTCGGAAAGATGGCAAAATCGTGCAGCTCTTTAAAAAAACGGCTGTGATAGTTCATCAGGAGACGCGGTAGCGTCTCCCGCCAAGTATAT